TACTGATTTAACTTCTTATTTTGTTTATGTATGGTTTAGGGTACAATACAACACTTTGCCAGCATGTATTTGATAGCTATAAAAATTTATTTAGAAATGGAAGCCATGTTAATAGTCGAAATTGGAATTTTCATGTTTGGACAGTTATATTTAATATTTGACACAGTCAACCGACTTAATAAAATTCTGTTCTTCTTCTATTTTACCGTATACTATTTTATCATATTTTTTATTTATGCTTTATCTTACCTACTATATTTTATTTTATCTCATCATAGCTATTTTATCATACTTATCTCTTATCTCATTTTATTGTATTTTATTGTGGCTGATGCTCATGTTTGATATGGTCAATTATAATTGATTAATCAATAAAGTATATCTTACATTATTTTTAATAATTTTTTTACAATAAAATATAAACATTCCTTTTAGTACTAATTTTTATTGCTGCTTGCATTCAGTCATACTAAACAAAAAGTCAATATGCTAACTGAGCTGATGGCTTCTATTTAGGAAGATCTTAAAAATGCAAGATGTCATAGTTATCTAATAACAGTATAATCCACATCATATAAGTAAAAAACCCAAGCATATCATATATAGCAAGCAAGGAGACAAAAAAATAAAAGAAAGTATCACACAGAACTAGACATTTCTATAACAGGAACCAATTAGACTGTATAAAAGTAGAAACAGGTTTTTAAAAAGTTTGGTTTGTTTATGTTTCAACCTTTCTGCATGGTTGGAAGGCATATTTTATGAACAACATACAATCTCTTACCCAGGATCTAATCGACCCAATAGGAAAGTTATTGCAAGGAAAACATTGTATGAAAATATTGCAAGGAAGACATTGTATGTGCTAACTTGTTGGGCTAGAACAGAGAAGAGCCATTTTCAGTGAAGTCCCTGAGAGATTTGGAACAATCACTTTGTCTCAGTCCAACCTATCTCTAGAAGTTTGATAGACAACTTGGAAGAAGTGCCGGTGTATACGACCTTGAGCACCTGAAAGGAAGATAGGATATAAATGTAATGAAGTGATGAAACATGATCATAAAAGCCCAGTCCAGCATAATACCACTGAAAAAGAAAAACAAGAAATCCAAGAAGAAACCAGCATGGCTGCACAAACATCTCTCTGTTAAACTAAAGGACAAAAAGAACAAGTACAAAAAATGGAAAGAGGGACACACAACTAAGGCAGAATATCAGCAGATAGCCAGAATCTGCAAGATGAAGTTAGGAAAGCAAAGGCTCAGAGGGAACAAAGACTTGCAACAGAAGTCAAAGACAAGTTTAAAAAAAGTTTCTTTCAACATATAAATAACAAGAAAAAATCAAGGAAACCGTAGGTCCACTAAAGAGAGAAGACAGCAAGGAAGTAACGGGCAGCAGAGACAAAACAGAGCTGCTTAACTCATTCTTTGCATTGATCTTCATGCAAAAAGAAACTATAGCTAACCTACCAAAAACACAACTGTAAAAGAAAGACTAGAAATAAAAAGAAGAAAAAAGAATGGTAAGAGAACACCTGTCAATCAAGATCACATGAGGTACTAATATCAGCCTTATTAAAACCACACCTAGAATCCTGCATCCAGTTTTGGTCACCACACTATAAAAAAGACGTTGAGACTCTAGAAAAAGTGCAGAGAAGAGCAACAAAGATGATTAGAAGACTGAAGGCTAAAACATATGAAGAATGGTGACAGGAACTGGGCATGGCTAGTCTAATAAAGAGAAGGACTAGGGAAGACATAATAGCAGTGTTCCAATTTTTGAGGCGCTGCCACAGAGAGGAGGGAGTCAACCTATTTTCCAAAGCACAGAAGGCCAAACAAGGAAATGAATGGAAATTGATCAAGGAGAGATACAACCTAGAAATAAGGAGAATTTTTCTGACAGTGAGAACACTCAATCAATGGAACAGTGTCGTCTTCAGAAGTTGTGGGAGCTTCATCACTGAAAGCTTTCAAGAAGAGACTAGAGTGCCATCTGTCAGAAATGGTGTAGGGTCTCCTGCTTGGGCAGTAGGTGGATTAGATTATCTACAAGGTCCTTTCCAACTCTTTTTCTGTTAAGTGTTGGATGTAGTGTATAAAGGAGAAAGTAAGAAATGTACGAATAATCCATAGAGGAAAATCTTGTTCTGAATCTTGATGGATACAGCAATATTTACACTTACTTCCATGTATGTTCTTATATAACAGAAGCAATGCCTTATTTCTTATTGGAACAACTGATACCAGCTCCCTACAAAAACAACCCTGTGGGGTGGGGTAGATTGAGAGTGAGTGACTTGCCCAAGTCACCGGGCTGATTTTTCATGCCTCAGGTGAGACTAAACTTTGCAATTCTATGGTAAACTGCAAAAAAAATCAACTATAAAGGCCAGACAAGGAACAATGGATGGAAACTGATCAAGGAGAGATTCAGCCTAGAAATAAAGGGAAATTTTCTGACAGTGAGAACAATCAACCAGTGGAACAGCTTGCCTTCAGAAGTTGTGGGAGCTTCATCACTGGAAGTGGTATAGGGTCTCCTGCTTGACCAGGAGTTGGACTAGATGACCTACATGTTACCTTCCAAGTCTGTTATTCTAATTCTTGGTTTCTAGCCTGATGCCTTCATTATTAGACCAAATGGGATTAAGAGTGATCCAATCCATATATGTATGTTTGAGCATGAGATAGTCAACAAAGCAAACTTAAGTAAGAAATTTAAACATTTGGATTCAGAAATCATTAAAGGAGTAATCCAAATTGTAAGAGCGGCAATTAGTTTTGTTGGTTTACAAAGAGTGTTCTCTTCCTCTGGAATAATTCACTGAAAACTGCAAAGCAATTTGGAAACTGAAAAAGCAAGATAATTTGTCTTTCTTTTTTGCCAGACTGAAAAAAAAGAACAAATGACACTTTATTTGCCATTCACCAAAGTTTTCAATGTCTTGTGCTGACTTGGTTGAAATTGCCTATTCTTTACTTTAACAAAATGTACTTTAAATGAGAAGTGCACATTTTAAGTAATAATCTATTTTTATTGTTTGCTGAAGAAAATTACTCAGAACAAGCCAATTTAAAAGCAGCTGGGGATCATGCTGTTATAACATAGCAAATGTATCCCTCAAATATCCACAAATAATTCAACTGGAAGTGCTTCATCTCCTAATGTCTTCACAACTACATAACTTAGCTAATAACTGCTAAGTTATTAATATTCTGAATTCTATATAAAATGATTTTTTAAAAATCTGACAAAAATTGTATACACACACATACATGAATAAACCATTGTATTCATACTGTATCAAACAAGCACTTTTACTAGAAATGATTGCAAAATATTCTTGGTAAATGAAATGATTTAAAACATTAAATTGGCTCTCCCTGACTAGTGAATTAAATTATGAATTAAATCAATTTGATGTAAATCAAATCCATCCTACTTATAATTATTCAGATCTTCGCAGGATCCATTTTTCTAGGAATGCTCTCGTGGGATTTCTTATAATGAAGCTAAGATCATTCTCTGTAAGACCAAATTTATAACTCCTAGATCCAGCTGAGCATTCTATTCTTACTAAAGATTACATTACATATAATACGGAGGGGATTACACAAATTAGCAATAATTGGTTCCAATTACAGCTTCTTTACTTCTACTCCCTTCTCATTTCCAAGAAATCTACAATACTTTGCCAAGCCCAAAATCAAATCTTGCCCTGATAGCTCACTAACCATTTCCCAAGCACATGTTCACATGCCTCTAGCTGTAATTCAGTATTAAACTGCAGGGGAGCTAAAAATGCACGAAAATTGTGTTTTCCCTAAAATCCTGCTTCAAGATGTGTGCAAGCAATATAGGGTGTGCTGATGTACATTGGGGGAGGCAGCCTAAAATGATGTGTTCTGCTGGATAGTTCCAACTGATTCTGCTTCTTTCCTAGGTGTTGATCCCCTTCCCTGGTCTTTTCATAGAGCTCTTGATCTCTTTTGCATGAATGGAAAACTGTATTTTTTTTAAAAAAAAATGGACTGATCAACTAGTTAACAGAAAGTGCAAAGCACTGAAATTAACCACTCTAAATCTGTAATTGGAAGCATAATAAAAAAGCATTAGGATCCTTTGTGGTACTCCCAGGAAGAAACCCTGTAAAAGTTCCCACCACCACAAATTATAATTGGTTCTCATGAACAGAGATATTTAGTTGTATAATATATCTGATATTCAAATATCTTATATCTGAATAAGGCAGAATTTCTGAATAAATTGTAATGGGTAAAGAATAACTGGGCAGGTCTTTTGCTGAGCAATGTCAAGTATCTAGTTCACACCTTTAGGCCTTAAAACTTGGAAATCATCCAGAAGAATTCAATCAGGTGCTTTTGACACCTCTATAATCTAAGACTGGCTTTCTCAAAGTTTGTAATACTATAAGCCCCTTAAATCTTTCTCTCTTTACATTCATCTGCTAAAGTTGTAATCTAAAAAAAATGAGTTTGGCAATCCTCTCATGAATAAAATCAAACAAATAATAAGTAAACCAGAAAACTTCTGTGATTGTTAGATAGTTCTGACAAATGGCTAGACCCATCAGTTTAACCTTCTCACAAAATTATAGGCTTTGTGTTTCTTCGTTGCTTGTGGAAACCCACTTTGGCTTCTCCAGGCAAAGTGAGACTGAAGAAGCACTGCTGTTTCTGGAAAAGAACTAAAAGCTCTTTAGCAACCAAAAGCTCTAGGGATATCTAGAATGACCAGGTTTCGGTAAGAAATGAAGTGAAATGGATTGAGGTTGAAAACCCTTCTATCAAAGGCTGTATCCTATGTCGGAAAAAGGTTATTTGTCTTTTCTCTATTCATTCTTCCCCTTAGCCTCATTTCAATCCACTCCAGAATTTCCTTTCATTTACAAAAATTCTTATGATCCAAATTGTACAAATTGTATTAATTAGAGCAATTCAGTTTTAAAATTAGAACTATCTCATTAATACCTGATCTTTATTATTTAAGCCAATGTGCATGATAAGATAAAAATGCACCAGATAGTCAGGATTTGGCATAAAGTCTTGACGTCTTGTCATCATAGCACATATCAGTTTGTAGGCATGAATCTTTCCTTCTTTATATTCATCGGGTAAAGTTGTAGCCTAAAAAAAATATTTTGTTAAATCATTTGTGAACTCTGAAATAACCAGACCATCATATATTAAAATATGTGAATATCCTCACCAGGGTGGTTTTGATTCTATTTCTGGTGCTAATCTGAAACATTTTTAAAACACTCAAAAGAGAACAAATTAAATTGTTAATCTTAAATCATTAACTTATAAATTGACACATTTTTAAATCTAGTGCAAGCCTCCAGTAATGCAAAGCATGATACAAGTTTTATATATTCCTTCCCAATAGTAGGTTTCAGCAAATCTGTTCAAGTCCCCACAATTCCTACCTACCTGTGGTCCACTACCATTCATAGAGGGCAATGGCTAATCCTAAATCATTGATTTGCCTGGATAAGCAGGATCCATTGCCTCTGAGGTCACACCACACAAAACATGCCGCACTGTTTCCATATATGTGACTCTGTATAACCGAGCTTAGGCTACACATAGTAAGAAAAATGTTCACAACTATCTTTTAAAAATCTTTGTTATGGGGAAAGTACAATTTATGGCTTATATGCACGTATATGTTGGGTTCTATAGCAGCGGTCACCAACTGGTGGTCCGTGGATCACTGGTGGTCCATGAGAAAATTTTGGGGGTCTGCAGAAAAATTATTTGCATTTTTTATATTACACTAAATCAGAGGTCTTCATACTACGGCCCCTGGGCCAGATACATGCAATGAACATTTGCGTTGCTGCAGAGTCTCCCCCTTTGGGGTCTTTTTGTGTAGGTCAGAGGGGGCCAGAAGTTCCAACTTGGGGTCTGCTTCAGCCTCCTGGTGCAGGGCTTTGAGTGAAGGCTGGAAGGAAGTGCCACTGGTGGCGAAGAGCCAGAGGGCCTTGTTCCAGTGGGACTGCATCATGGCCTGGAACTGGCTGACCATCTCAGCCCTCTGAGCCTCCAGGTGCCGGTACCTGGCCTTGCACGCCCGCAGGTCTTCCTTCTGCTTGGAAAGCCTATGCTCGTAGTCCTCAGTGAGGTGCTTCTGCTGAGTCTCCTTCTCGGTCAGATCCAATTTGAACTGAGCCTGCTGTTTTGCAACCCTTTCTCACGGTGGCTGCTTAGCTCTAACAACTGCTTCCTGTTGGGGCCCTAAGGAGCCCAGGCAGGAAGGCAAGGAGTGGCTGGGAGGGGAAGGGCAAATAGAGACAAGTGTGGCACACCTCGTCGTGAGATTGAGTTGGCTACGCTCACCCAGTCATATGATCACCTTGCCACGCCCACCCATCTGGTCATTAGGCAGATCATATTAGTGGTCCACGGGATTTAAAATTTAGGAATTTAGTGATCCCTGAGGTCTGAAAGGTTGGTGACCCCTGTTCTATAGTATACCTTCTTGCACACAAAGCTAGACGTTAGATAAAGTACAAGGTTACATGTATGCAGTAAGCTATATAGGTAGTCCTCATCTTACAACAGTTCATTTAGTGACCGTTCAAAGTTATAATGGCACTGGAAATGTGGCTTACGGCTGTGTTTTACACTTATGACCTTTGCAGCATTTTCATGGTCACGTGATCAAAATTCATTTTTACTTCTGACAAGTAAAGTCAATAGGAAAACCACATTCACTTAACAGCTGTGTTATTAACCTAACAACTGCAGCGATTCAATTAACAACTGTGACAAGAAAGGTAATAAAATGGGGCAAAATTCACTTAACAAATGTCTTGCTGAGCAACAGAAATTTTGGGCTCAACTGTAGTCATAAGTTGAAGACTACCTGTACAGGTATTGGCTTTGTTAACTTTTTGTTTGAGTACAGAATATCATCTTCATGCTACAGTGGTTAGCAGTATATTTTCATTGGAACTGATATATCTAAGGAAATAATTGAACTTTTTATTTTTTTCAAATCATACCTAATATAAATAGATTGGTTTCTGGATTTGTGGTAAGTAGACCACTTTTTTAAAAAGCTATTATATTACAACTGCTGCTTCCACTGGGTGTTAATAAAAATAAATTAAAATTTATTTTATTTTAACAAAATATGCCCTTCATTTTTTTTAGATTGCAGGTAGGAGCAGTCAGCTCCTATTCCAACTATTTTGGGAGGTCTTTTAAGTTCTCATTATATTATCTGGTTGGAAGATTCAGAAAGTTGTCAGGAGTTTTCTGTTTGGAGCATGGATCACTCAATATGACAGAGTAGTACCTTTATTAGGATACGGCTGACTCAGAACATGCTGAGTAAGGCTACTTTACCCAGTTTCAAACAGAAACACATTTTCTCTGTCATGCACACTTCTTATGGCCTATTCAAAATGTTTCTGACTTTCTTTACCTGGAACACAAAACACTAAAAACAGGGAAAATTCCAAGTAGGGCATCTTGTGTGGCAATAAAATATTTTTTCTCTATTCCAAGTCTATCCATAAACTGTTTGCATTTCATGCAAAAGCAAATGAACAACTTACCTTGAACAACCATGATGCAAATATTCTAAGTGGTGGAATTAAAACAGGAGGGGATGGAGTAGACTGGTTATCCAGACTTACTGCTAGATTGTCTCTTATCTAAAACAAATAAACAAGAAACACTTTAAGTGTTTTAAATTTCATCAGTCTCATAAAGTTAGTTGCATTGTTCTTAAACATTTACATGCAAAATATTGTTTGTCAAAGTTATTTTCTAGTTGATTTGAATAAATTTAGCTGATGAGACCAAGACATGAGATGGTCTATGCATGTTCTTTCTTTGCTTCATTTTACAGGAAATCAATGGAATATTAAATATGTATTTCTTGTATTGCCTGTTTTCATTATTATTCTGTGATGAACAGGGTTCTGAAACTGGAGGAGTTATTTGCAAACATTGTTCTGGACAGCACAAACATCATTTTCTATGGAACAAGTTCCATTAGCTTGTCACAAAGAAATATACATTAAAATTGCCCTAAACACATTAGTAGAATGGTGGAGAATCCATCACGTTCTAGATATTGCTGGATTTTAGTTCATTTATTCCTGATTTAGTCCAGTTTATTTGTTCAGCAAATGTCTGCTATTGGAGACCATATAATTCTTCAGCAACATTTTGTTTGCTAATTATATTATCACACTAGCTAAAATACAGGGCTCCAAAATGTTTGGCTTTGGGACTACATGTAGCAAGTTAGCTGGGATTTTTAACGGGGTGAGGGGTGGGGAAGAGGTTACTTATGTGCATTTTGGGTGGCTTACTGCAGATAGTCAAGACATTCATTTGACAGCTTGAAACTTTCCAAATGTGTGCCCATTTTGGGAGTATGGCCTTCATCATGCCAAAAAGATTAACTTGTGGCTAAGTAGCACATGTTTAATGTAAGAGGGGAACCTTATGAAGTTATGAATAGTCATAACAATAACTTGACTCCACCATTATCCCTTAATATTGCATATCTACTATAATCATTAATTTTAACATATCATTTTCATATTATTTCTACCATTAAATTATTCTATTAATGTTTTTTCAGGAACTCTAAATTAGGGATCAGCTAAAACATTTATTTCATTCCAACAGAATTCCAGCAGCCTAATCAACTGTTGAAGACTTAATAAATTGGGTTATTAAGACTATTTTAAAATATTGAAAATTTCATTTGATTTGAATATTATACAATGTTTATTTGCTTATCTCCAGTAAACCCACCATAACGTTCAACCTCACCTTTGCTAATTTGTGCCATAACTCAAAGAGATATTCAACAACTCTGGCATGTATTTTAGGAGACTGGATATTGTTTACATCTCCAAGAATTCCTAATGTTCTTCTCCATAGTACAGCTGCAGAGTCAGGATGCCATCCAGTAAGAGTGCCACCAGCAATTATGCTACAATCATCAGCAAGGAATTCACTGCTGTCTAGAAGAAAGAATGGTTTCAATTAGCTTTTTTAACATGTGTGCAAAAAGAGAAAAAGATATCAAATTTTATTTATTTAAATTAAAAAAAAACAGAAATACAGAAGAAACAAAAATACTGCATGATAAAATGGACACAACATTTTATGTGAAAGAAACATTCATAATATCCTTTTTGGGACTTTGGAGGAAAAAGTGGTGGACTGAAGATGGCTCCACAAAAGCCAGTGAGTGGACCGGCTCTTTGAATAAGGAGAGGACAGGAGATCACTCAGCTCCAGACAGTTGCTCCTCATGAGGACACTACAAAGACAGCATTTGGAGATGAGGGAATAGTCACAAGCTCAATTTATGATTGGTGTCATAGTTCCTTTTCTAGTGAAGTTTGGAAATCACATTTTTCTTACTAGCTGTAATCCCAGAAAACATCATAATTTACTGATATTTATGCTTATGGAAACCAAATTAAATGTTGTCCAAAACTAGAAGAAAGAGTTGTAACAATATCTGATTGGGAACTTAAACTCAGAGAATATACAAGAATGGAATAATTAACAACATATGTTATTGCTGAATAATGTATTCTATCTATGAGAACCATTCTTGCTTTAAACTTGGTTAACATCTGATGAGTTTAACCAAATTTAAGCAAGAATTATTCCCATAGATAGAACACATTATAAAACACAGCCAATATAAACTTTTACAGGGATAAATTAGAAACCAAGATACAAAGATATAAATTTCATTTTTTTTATCTGTACAGGTATAAAAATAGACTTTTATACCATCAATAATGCTTAAATACTTTATTGAAATCATATACATAGTTTATAATGATGATATAAAAACAATTTTTTTAAAAAAGAAACCGGGTTTCCCATTTAGTTATATTGGAATAAAATCATACAAACTTCTAGAGCAATTGAAATATAGAATAAGAAAAATGTAGATGATAAAGATAATAAAACCTTAAATGCAGCAGCTTGAATAAAATGTTTATGAACATCAGCATGTTAAACATTAACACACTGATTAAAATTCCCAGGAGAAAAAAAAACACCTTGATCCTATAGATAAAAACCAATCAAGGTATGCCAGCTACATCTCACTTTGGAGGGTATTATTGTATCAATGGAAAAGTATATGCAAAAATAAAAATTTACACATATACAGACATTCACTCTTCTATTACATATATTAAAGTTAATATAGTTTAGGCATTTAAGAAATATGACAATACCAGTGGTGGAATCCAATTTTTTTTACTACTGGTTCTGTGGGTGTGGCTTATTTGGTGGGCGTGGCTTGGTGGTCATGTGACTGGGTGGGTGTGGCCAACCAGACATCACTCATGTCAAGGGGCGTTTCCTCTCTCATTCCCTCTTGTTCTTTCTTTACCTCTTCCCCCCCCCCCCTCTCTCAAAGCCATGGCTGGCCAAGCGCTCTTCCCTATCTTCCCCTCTTCCCTCCACTCTCTCTCCGTGTGTGTGTGTGTGTGTGTGTGTGTGTGTGTGTGTCTCAAAGCCATGGCTGGGCTTTCCTTGGTGCTCTTTGCTATTTGCATTTCTTTTTTTTGGAATCAAGACTGGCTGAACAAGGATCTCCATCTCCCCCTCCTTCTCCTCCTTGGGTGTGCACACCATCTTCCCGGCCCTGCCACAGCTGCCAGTTGCAAGAGGAGGGGGAGGGGGAGATGGGTCACCTGAAGAGATGTTTCCAGCAGTGGCTGGCGATCCTTGTTCAGCCAGTCTTGATTCCAAAAAGAACAAATGAAAATAGCAAAGAGCACCAAGGAAAGCCCAGCTGTGGCTTTGAGGAAGACACACACACACACAGAGTGGGGGAGAGAGGAAGATAGGGACCCGGCCACTTCGCTATCCCCTGCCGTCACTCTTACCTTCTCAGGCCAGGCGAGGGAGGGGAGAGTTAGTGGCAGGAGGACCAGCCGCTTCAGGCAAGGTGAAGAGGTGTCGACCAAGCATGGGAGAGTAGAAGCCTGGGAACGGCAGTTCCCGGCTTAGCCGGCCTGAGGGGCTGCTGCAGGCATATCAGGACAAAGGCGGCGAGAAGCCCTGGGACATCTGCCCACCCACCTACCTGCTGACTGGCCGGGCAGGGCTGGGCTGGAAGAGGCACGTCAGCCGGGAGAAGGCAGAAAATGTGCTCCGGGAGGGCAGGCAGGCAGGCGGATGTCCTGGGGCTGTTGCACATGCATAGTGCATGTGTAGCAGCTGCAGCCCTAGGACATCTGCCTGAGCTGTGCCATGGCCACCATGTGGTAGGGAAAGCTAGGAGAGCGACTGAGACAAGCGGGCGACCAGGCGACCCAGTTCAGGGGCGTGGCCAGCCAGGGGTCGCTGTCAGTTCTGCGACCCATGCCAAATCACTGCTACCGGTTCTCCCGAATAGGTGCAAACCAGTTGAATAGCACCTCTGGACAATACCATATATGTTCCCATGTCTGAGAAGAAGTGAAAGGACTAATCACTAGGGAAGGCAAAGCAGAAGAGCTGGTGTAAGGCTCTGAGGATGGAATGAATGAATGAAGATGTCATGTCTTTTGTTTTATCTACAAACAAGATGATAGAAAGCTCAACCATTTCATAACTCAGTTTCCTTAGCTGAAGTGTAATGTTATGTTTAATATCCAGCTTATCTTTCCCTTTTAAGACTGCATACCTGAGAAATTGGTAACCAACCACTGATGGGCATCTGGATCATCAGAAATGTCAGCATGCATGGAGATATCATTATTTTCTTCACATGTTTGCCAGGAAGCCAAATTCATGCCCATTTCATTACTGTATCCAATAGAAGTATCACTGCTAATACTTTCACCTAAATAAAAAAGTGATATATAAAATATAGTAATACAATCTGAAAATATAACTGAAGTAATTAAAACAGAAAATTATTTTACTATATGAATCTGGTGACATCAGTATATTCTATTTCACCAATCATTTCAATAAAGTGATTTTTCTGAAAAACTCACACTTTTCTTTCTCTTTCTGATTTCCATGTAACTGCTGTATGTCTGTCTTAAGATTTAATTCAGATGCAATGTTGCTTGCCTGCATGATTTTGTGAAAAAATGTTTTACATATTAATATAATAGTAATATAGCTTGATAAGTTGTCTCCTTCAAAGCACTGATCAATTTTACACACTACTATTCTATAAACTTTATAATATTAGACATTATTCCTTAATTATTTGATTTCATTTATTTGTTCTATGGTCAGAGATGAAAAGGACAGTAAAAATTGTTAAAATAATTAACAGGGATAAAAAAGAAAAGAAAAAAGGACATGTGAATGCCTGTATATGTAAAAAAAAGAGAACTGATAACACTACATTTAGCTGCTGTAAGGTGTCAAATTCTGCTCTTGTCAAACCCAACATTATGTAATTGTAATTGCAATGAAACAGAGTTTTAAAACTTTTTGTATATTTTTCACAGCAATGATTTTTTAATAGGAAAGGCATGATTTCTTATTGGGGCCAGTCCAGGTATATGCTGATGAGGGGTTCTGGCCTTGATGCGGCAGTCTAAAACTGAACCATTAAAGAAGTATTTAATTCACCTAGCCTGGCAAACATTCAATTTTAAAACTGCAAACTATGCCTTCAACAGCGATGGAGGGTAGATAGCTATGCATTCCTGTTCTTCCCTTTTCAGATTGAACATTTACCCAATAAGCTTTTATATCTTTAATTATATTTATCAGCCTGTGAGACATATATTGAAAAGATGTGGGCTCTCTCAGTTCAGATGATTAAAAAAAAAATCTTTCATCTTATTTTAAACAACTATAGGCTATAACCCTACTTACATTAACTGCAGAAAGGTTTATCTAAATAAATGGAAATTAAACCATGGTAGGTATGGGTCTGTTTTAATTCTACTTTAAATATTTGTAATGTTAATGTATTTTGTGGGCTATGGTTATACATATTTAATAAATTAAAGTTTAAACTTCACCATTATTCTATAACTGAATATGTTCCATATACTTTGACAATAGGAAACCCTAAGATATAAAAAAAATATTTTATATTTCTCTTAGTTCTACATTTTTTCACATTTCCATTATTTACATTGTCAATTGTTAACATAAAACATAGCATAACAGCACAATACATTATTTTAATATAATGACGTTTAAACATGTCTTATTTAAATATACATTGTGATCCTATTTGTACTTACTTCTTGTACTGTACTTTCCTTATTCATGGTCTCCTTATTTTTTTGAACAGATCTGGATCCTGAAGTTAAATTTTGTGAACTCTCTGTTTTTCTAACTGTGAAGTATGAGTGAAATGTTATGGATTACAAATTAATAAATTTATTTGAATATGTTTATTTTATTATTTAAAATATACAACTTTATAAGTTATGAAAATGTATGTGTGCATATTTACATAATCAACTTAACTTCATAGCATGTATTAAACATATTATTTAATTAATTATTGATCATAAATATATAAATATTAATGATCATAAATATATAAATAAAATGTAGTGTATTCATTTTTAAAGGTTTTTTAAAAAAAATAGTAATTAGTACTAAGGTTAGTTACTTTGCAAACTGCAAAGTCACATTATGTATTTAGGAAAAGAGCTGGCTTTCAAACACAGCAGTTATTGCCTTCTGGCGTTTCAAAAATACTACATAAAATGTATGATCACTGAATATTGAGATCTTGCATAACGTAATGGTTTCCAAATGACTGCAAACCTGCTAAATATTAAGGATGCTGATTTATAAAAAATCAATTATAACATGGCTGATTAAAATGTTTCTTGTGTTTTTGCATCCTTTTCAAAGAGTCAGTTTGATGTAGAGATGAAGGTGTTGGCCTAGAAACCAGAAGGCCAGGAAAGCCAGCTGCATAACTTTGGACCAGACACACTCTCTCAGCCCAATCCACCTCAAAGGATTGTTGTTTGCCATCTTCGGTTATACAATTTATTAAAAAGGTGAGATAAAAATATAGTAATATATATGTTGGTATATGATTGTAATAAAATTTTGATTTGTTTTGCTTTTTATATCTTGGGTTTTTGCCTTGTAAACTGGAATATTTCTACTCCAATAAGGAAATCTGTTTAAATATGAGTAACTTGATTCATGTTTATTGAAAATAACTTCTACTGAGTTGACTGGGCTTTATTTTTTCTATAATGTTAGTGTATGTTTTATATAAATGGGCTATAATTAAAAATTGCTATCAGTCTTAATGAAATATAAATGTAAAAAATGAACTTTTAAACCATTGTTATTATAAAAATTAATAAAAAAAACTATTTTTAAAATGCTTGGACCGAACTGTAAATAACAAAAGACAGAAAATGGCATAGTAAGTACATTTAGTATATGGCATGAATAATGTTTCAGATGTTGTTACATATAGCATATGAAAACAATTCTTTCTCAGAGTATTTCTAGATTACCTTGGAAAATATCAGAACTGCATTGATCTCTAATGTCAGAGGTACTACTGCTTCGAGTTAATTGATCCAGGTCTGAAAAAGGACTGTTATATTCTGTTCCCAATAAGTTTACCGGTTGCTGATTCACAATTCCTGATCCATTTTCTGATAGATCATGTTGTTCACTTTCTATAAGGATTAATATAAAAGTTTTATTAATTATGATTTTAAAATGTCCATATCTATTTCTAATAAAGGTCTTTGACTTTTTAAAATATTTACATACTTATTATCAACTAACATATAAAACATTAATTGTCACTTAGCACAAGGTAAACATATAATACAGTTTAAGCCATTATACTATTGACTTGAGATGGGAATGTTCTATGATATGAAGTATGAAGGGATATCTAAAAGTATTAAGAACTTATCAGAACACTATTTCTTCTCAGCAAAATTAATTTATTCCAACAAAATGAATTCCCTTATGTAAGAAATATGATAGCTGTCAAGAAATTTCAAATATCAGCTTTTGTTTCATTTACCTTTTTTAAAAAAATGTATCTTTGTGTGCAAGAAATACTTGTATATTGATTGATATAAAAACATTTCTAATTATGAATCTGATATCCTTGTATGTGATTGGAAGTACAGCCTGGGTATTTACTACAAGAATAGCTGGAATACCATAATGGGAAAATGAAGGCTGAAAACTGTTGCTGACATATATTTGATTGTCTGAGATATAAACTAAAAGTTACGCTACCATGAGACAGAGTATGTCTCAATATTACCCAGAGCTATCTATAATTCAAATCCTACTGGCAGCTTTTATAAAGAAGTGCACTTAAAAGTACTAACTACATTGAATTCTGCATTTATAAACATTGTAACCTGTTCTTTGCTCTGGTATCTATGATTTACTTTACCCATAAAGTGAAAGCACATAAGAATATATTAAACTGATATATAATATACAGAGTAATTAGGGCTGCAGAAAAAACAATTACTACCAACCTCTCTTCCATGGAGGACCTGTATACTGCACAGTCAAAAAAAGGGCTGTGAAATATTTACAGACCCCTCACATCCTGGACATAAACTGTTTCAACTCCTTCCCTCAAAATGATGCTACAGAGCACAGCACATCAGAACAACAGGACACATGGACAGTTTTTCCCCAAACGCCATCACTCTGCTAAACAAATAATTCCCTCAACATTGTCCAACTATTTACAAAGCCTGCATTACTATTACTATTAATCTTCTCATCACTCCTTATCACCCATCCCCTCCCACTCGTGACTGTAAGACTATAAGTTTGTTGCTTGTATCCTTACGATTTATATTGACTGTTTCCTAGTATGATTTGATTTCTTATTGTACCCTATGGCTATTATTAAGTGTTGTACCTTGTGATTCTTGATGAATGTATCTTTTCTTTTATGTACACTGAGAGCATATGCACCAAGACAAATTCTTTGTGTGTCCAATCACACTTGGCCAAAAAAGAATTCTATTCTATTCTATTCTATTCTGTTCTGTTCTGTTCTGTTCTGTTGTTCTGTTCTGTTCTGTTCTGTTCTGTTCTACTCTACTCTACTCTACTCTACTCTACTCTACTCTACTCTACTC